GGGCGGGAGGGGCCGGGCGGGCGGGCTCCCATTGAGGGCGGCGAGGGTGCCGGCCGCATCGCGGGGGCGCCTGTCAGCTGCCCAGCCTGCTGCTGCTGCGGCGGCCGCGGAGCTCCATTTGCGGGTGCGCCGGCAGGCCTCGGCGGCAGCGGCGGCATGGCGCCGGGCGCATTCGAGGGCCGCGGAGGCATGGCCGTGGGCGGCGCGCCAGGCCGCTGCGCACCAGGCGGCGCCGCCGCCACGCCCGCGCCGGGCGGCGCGGTCAGCGGCCGCAGCTCAGGCCTCGGTGGTTGCGGCCTATTTGCCACCGGTGGCGAGGGCGTCTCCGCATTCGCAGCGACATACACCCTGTGGGTCCTTTGGGACCGCGGTGCCTGGATCCCCGAGCTCCGATGCCGATACATTGGTCGTATACGCTGTGGCGACTAGAATTGGATTACCCACTCCTGCTGCCGCCGCTCCGGGACCTGCTTGTGTGGCGGTCGCAGCATGCACCGCGATTCCAGGTGCAGAAGAACTGCAAATCTATCACAAGCGAGAATGCGGCAGTGTGGGCACGCACATAACTGATTATCCTGGGAAGGGTATGGCAGTCACGCAGTTAGTGCGCCGCTCGCGCTGCAGCACTGTCTTCAAGGATGCATGCATTCACCAGTTTGCAGCACCAGCAGCCACGTTGCTGGGCTGCCCACGTGCGCAGAACAGTTGTGAACCCGCATTATTGGGCCGCATTGCCACGCGTAACCTGACACACGCATGGCAGTTGGATGGATGTGTCGTGCGGGTGAGTTGTCAACTGCCTTGTGCGGTGTGGGGGAGCCTGCGTACGTGGTGACAATACCAAACATGACACAACGCACGCTCGACACCCCGTTTCATTTTTTAATTGGCCGCTGCCCTGGGGCAGCGTGTGCAGGACACGTTGGTCTACGAGTGGGGGGCACGGACTGTTACCGCATCCAGACACCTGCAGGCTCGACGGCTCAAGCATCCCAGGCCTCTGCAGAGCTGCAGCCAGATGATTCGAAGCTGCCCTCCTCCAGCAAAAGCTGCTGGGCGCCCTCAAACCCACAGCAGCCCCGCCGTACCTTGCATGCCGCGGCCGGCTGGCTCTGCCCGCCTGCGCCGGTACCCTGCTTGCAGCCACCCTATGAGCCGTCGCCTCCGCCGCCGCGAGTGCGACGTCGAGCGCAGGCAGGGAGGGTACAGCCAGCATCAGCGGCGATCTCCTCCAGACTGTCCCTCTGACACGGCCCTCGCTGCTGCGGCAGCTTTGGGTTGTCCGCTAGAACAATCTCGCTGCAGCTGATTGGCCCCCACCCGCTGCCTTCGCGGCAGGCAGGCGTTACAGCCGCGACGTGTGCCGGCACGGCTGCACCGGGCGGCCGGGCGTGGTGGCTGCACGCCCGTGAGCCCAGCCGTACGCGTGTGCATGACTGCCCCTGGTGGGGGTGTGGCGGCAGCAGCACGCCCTGCAGGCGCATCTTCTGCTGCGTGCCCAGGCAGCAGATCGCTGACGCTGCAGCAGGCGGTGCGGCTTCATGCCAGGATGTGGGAGTTTGCCCGAGTGGCTCAGGCTGCGCAAACAGGCCACCGGCCCCTAAAAATCCTGCCATAGCGCGTTGGCCCCTGCGCTGCCGCCGCAACCGCCGCAGCTGCGCTTCAAGCTTCTGGGCTGCCGCCGCGCTGTCCGCCGCGTCGCGCCGCGCTGCCGCCGCCTCGTCTCGCAGCAGCGCCGCCTTGCCCTCCCAGCCGCGCTGCGCCGCCTCTTCCCTTCTGCACGCATCTTCGCCTGCCGCCCTCTCGCCCTCCATGGCGCGCGCCCACCCCGCCTCTGCGATTGCAGCCCTCTCATGCAGCGCAGCGGCGCCGGCCTTGGCCGCTGCGAGCGCTGCCGCCCCCGCCGCTTCGCTGGCTGTGCGCTCCGCCTCAGCGCGCGCCTGCTCGGCGCACCTCCGCGTCACCTCCGCCTTGCAGGCTTCCGCGCGGCACGCCTGCTCCGCGGCCTCGCGGCGTGCGGCATCTGCAGCGGCGTGCGCTGCCTCAAGTTGGGCGGTGAGCGCCTGGAGGATAGAGAAGTTGATGCACGGTGGCGCCGGTGAGACAGGCAACAGAGCCCATGGCCTGTCAGGCTACGAACAACCCAAGCAGAACAGCTGGCTACGTGCAAACCAACCAGAGGGATTGTTGCCAACAATAATCTACAGCAGAATATTTTGAACTAGGCTTGGGGTCAGGCATATATACCTACCTGCACGCGTGCCGCAGCCTCTCGCAGCTGCTCTTTCAGGCGGGTCTCAGCAGCCCGCGCTGCCTGACGCTGCTCCTCTAGGCACGCCTGCATTGCCCCGCGCTGCAGCACTGCCTGCCGAAGCTCCTGGCGCCAGCATTCCAGGGCTTGTACACTGTCCGTCTCAGTCTGCTGCTGCTGCTGCTGCTGCTGCTGCTGCTGCTGCGGTCTGGCTTTTGAATGTGCCGCGGTGGGCAGGGGTGCTGAGAGCTCACTCTGGTCCAACTGCCCTGCACGCGGCAGATCTTTGCCACACAGCAGCCTATGAATTCGCCCTGAATTCAAAGCCTCCATGGACGCCGAATTATGTGACACACGCAGCGGCACCGTCAGTCAACTGCACGCGTGCGCCTGCGCCTGCACGGCAGTGGCGCACTGCGTAATGCCCTCCGGCTGCTGAACGGAACGGAAAGGAGATGAATTAACTCAGAGTAACATTCAGATATACTTATTCTCGCAAGTTCGTTCGGAGGTCAAGTGCGTGATGACAATCAAATTCCGACGGCTCCTGCACGAACAAAATCTGGCCCCAGACTTCCGTTTTCCGTTCGAAGTCGATTGCATGTTAACTTGACATCATCTCAAAAATGTACACAATGTTGCTGCATTACCGCAGGCATGTTCGTTCCCAGTCAAACCCATGGTCAACACAATGGTGGCTGCCTCAGGTTCTACTGCACCTGGCCCTTGCCCTGTACAGTGAGCAGTGGCTGCCACGATATGTCTTTATTTTGTCTTTTTCATGGCCTGGCTGCATGCTCCTGGTGCGTCGTGTGTCCTGTGTCCTGTGGCGGTGAAGGGGACGGCTGGGCATTTAAAGCGATGGGTTTTCCCCCGTCCCAGATGTGCAAGGAGAGGCCTGCCCAACCATACCAAATGTTGCCGAGCCTGGTGTTTGCAGCTGAATTGTCCGACTCGGCATCTGTTGAGCAGAGGCAAGGTGGATTGCAAACTTGAACAGGCCAGCAGGACAGCTGGGGGCGGCAGCGTTGTCCGCTACGCGAATAGTTAAGGTGCAAATGATTGGGTGTCGATGCTGCCGATGTCACCAGGTCCGCTGAGCCCAAAGCAAGCACTGCTCTGTAAGTACTGGAAATTAAATTGAAAAATCCACAGCACAGTGGTCTGCGGTGCAGGTCAGGCGCACTTGCCAAGTTTTGCCCCCTGGCCCCGCTCCAATCCCCGTACGCCACAAGGTTTGCTTGTGGTCGGCCCTGTGTATGTACATTGTCAGCAGCATTGCAAATGAGCTGCCAGCTTCTGGGCCAATAGTTTGCCTAGTGGTGGCATTGAAATCCCTGAGGCCCTCAAGGAGTTGAGTGGAAGCGCTGACAGCACCGCAGGTCTGACATGGCCATAGCACAGGTCGGCAGCATTCTCACTCACACCACAGCACCTTGGGCCCAGGGGGACCACACCAGTTGCTCTGAGCGCGGCAGGCAGTGGAACGGGGTTGAGCTGCTCATCATGCGTCATGCCTGCCCTCGCTTGGACGACGACATAACCAAAGCACCGGTTTGACCACTCCCTGCTGCCACATCCCGCTACCTCCGAACACCTACACAAGAGTGACATCAGCGGTTACTTGCGCGACTTGCCGCCGAGCTTCTTCCTGCCCTTCCCCTTCCCCTTCTTCCCCTCAGCCTTGCTGACCCCGCCGCCGCCAGGCCGCCGCTTCCCGCTGCCGCCGCCGCTGGCTTTGCTCCGCCGCATATTCTTCCCGCGCTTGCCAAACTTGCCGCGCTCCTGCAGCCGCTGCCGCTCGCGGTCCTCCCGCTCCTGCTGCCCGTTGCTCTCGCCACCGCCCTGCTGGTCCTCACCGCCGCCCTCCTCGCCCTCCCCATCCTCGCCGCTGCCGCCGCCGCCGCTGCTGCTGGCAGGCTCGTCGTCACTAAGAGGGGCGGGGCGGGTGTGGCGCTGCGACCGTCACAACGCGCGAGGCTGGCGGCACAGCCTGCGCCACAGGCGCGAGCGTGACAATCCACACACCTCAATGCGACCCTGCAGGCCCTGAACATTAAGATGAACCTGTTTGCTATCACCCAGCATCACACCATCCTGCACACGGCCGCGGCCAACGCGCAGGAAGGCCCCACGACGCAACAGTGTTGGGCGCACCTGTCACCCCGCAGGTTGAGCACCGACACAGTTGTAGTGACGCCAGAGCCGCTATACACCCTGACCTGTGCCCGCTTGTCCTCCGACGGGTCCGCCGGCGCCCCGCGCTCGCCTGGCGATGCACAGCAAGGGGGCCGCAGCGCCCAGGCACAAACGCGCGTGAGGGGTCCAACAGCGTCACTGAGATTGGGATGGGCGCCGACAAGCTCGAGGCGGCAGGTGGACGCAGGCCACCACTGTTTGTGGGTCAAACACAACAAGCAAGGGACGGAGCAGGACAAGGGACAGAGCACGCCGCAGCTGAGCAGCTGCCGGGCCCACCCTCGTCGTCGCTCGATGACGACACCCCGTAGTCATCAGGTAGGTTGAGCTTTTTCTTCAGCTCCTTGAGGCGCTGCGTGTGTCATGTGTGTGTGCGTGTGTGTGTGTGTGTGTGCGCGCGTGTGTGTGTTGGCGTTTGTGTGTGGAGGTGATTGTGTATGCGCGTATGCTGGTGCGCACATGTGTGTGCGTGTTTGTGTGTCGTTGTGTGTGTGTGTGTGTGTGTGTGTGTGTGTGTGTGTGTGTGTGTGTGTGTGTGTGTGTGTGTGTGGATGGTGGGGCATGATTTGTGAACCCAGCACATGTCATCTGCGGGATGCAGGGTGAGCTGCTGCATGGGGTGTGGGATTGGCAGCTTCCCCCGCTTGTCCCGTAGCTTCCTTGTGCCAGCGCAGACCCCAGGGGAGGCCCATGCGGCGCACCTCTGACCGCTCCTGCGCCCGCTCCTTTTTTGCCTTGATTTCTAGATGTCTGATGTGAGGGGGGGAGACAGCGACGAATACGCGTGGGCATGACACGCCGTCCGAGCAGGCAAGGCGCCAAGCGTCTCGAGCCCTGCCGCCACTTGAAGCGAACGCGCGTCAGCAGGGGCGCCGAAAAAAGGTCCCGCCGCCCGCAGCACAAGCTCACTCTTGTGCGTCTTTTTTCCGCTGCAGCTTCCGCTTCCTGAAGCCAGTAAGGTAATCCCTGGGGACGGGAGAAAGCGGCAGTGACAGACGTGAAGTAGCGGGAGCAGTGCCGGGAGAGCCCTGCGGTCGACAACAGCGCTGTCCTGCAGTCCTGTTATGGCTGGAAGAGAACAAGTGCTCGCCTGCACTGATACTTTGCAGTTGTCATGGCATGCGCAACGGGTGCCCGCGGCGTGTGCAGCTGCATACGTCAAAGTGCGTCGGCGGCCGCTGCGGCCCTCACTTGTGGCCTTTCGGGTCGAACACGACCTCCTCGCCCCGCTTCCTGGCCTTGGCCTTTGAGAAGTGATTTATACGTTCTTTCTCATGGCTAGGAATTGACTGATTGAAAGCGAGTGCATCGTGCTCGTAGATCGGCTTCGGCCGGAACTTGCTCTTCATCGTGTGCAATAGGCGACACCGAGTTGCGAAGTGTTTCGCAAGAACGTCAATTTGTCAATGACAAGTGTTGCGCAACCAGGTCCTTTTGGCGAGCACGCACACCCGTCCCCCGGCGCCGCTCGAGTCTCAGAATGCGTTTGCCGCTGATGCCTTGCTGCGAGCCTACGTGTGCCACCTGCCAGCGCTACTTGGCAAACTGGGTGTCCATCAACTGCCACCATCATCTCTACGATCATGGACAATGTCCTCTCACGTGAGCTTCTTACACTGCTGCGTCGCGAGGACACCCAGCGCCTGACCTGTGGGGGGCCGGGCGCCGCGAGCGCGCCGCCCCGCGCCCCATCCGCCCGCCGATAGCACAGGAGTGCCTCACGCCGTCAGAACTTCATCTTGACGCGTGTGTCCTTGCCCAGCTCCTCGTACACGCGCGTCACCAGCTCGGGCGCGCGCACGTTGACGGTGACGGACAGGCTCACGTACTTGCCCCCCAGCCGCTGCTTGCGCTTCACAGCGCCGTCGGCCAGGGGCAGGGGCGTCTCCGTCAGGCGCGCCACTGCGCAGCGAGGGCGTTTGAACGGCAAGATCTTCAACTTTTTGGGCAGAAGGGGAGGATTCATCACGTTTGTACACGTTCAGTTTGCAGCCTGCGCCGACGTCTGGTGGTTGGTCACTGCGCCGGCGCTCGCTCAGGACTAGCCATGACATGCCAAACGGTCACGAGACTCCGTCCCCTCTCCTCACCATGCCGTCTGTCCTTTCATAATCCCCTTTGTTGATGAATCATGCTGAACACCAGTGAAATCCCCACCCCCCCTGCTGCCGCACGCCCTCACCAGTGGCCACCATGTCGTCAACAAACTCTGCATGCTCCCCACTGCTGCAGCCGCCCGCGGACGCGCCCACCACCTGCGCCGCAAACGATGTGTGCGTGTTGTCTCAAACATACCAAGAGCGGGCCCGCGACGCCGTGGCGTGTGCCACGCCAGGACGGCTGCTCCACGCCGGCGCCCCCGCACCCATTCTCCTTCTCCATCCAGCTGTATTCCAAAAACCCTTCTCCAAATTCGTCTGTGACACCCGCCCCCCACACACACCTGGAAGGTGTAGTCGGCGGGGAAAGTCACCAGGGACCCCAGCAGCACCCCCGGCGCCCTCTCCGTGTTCTCCTCCCAGGGCTTGGGGTCCAGGTCGCCCCTCAGCGCCGCCAGCTTCACGTCAAAGCGCGTGGCCCCCAGCCCGTTGACCACGCGGCCCGTCTTGCCGTCGATGAGGAGGCCGTCGTCCCCCAGCTGCAGGTCTGCGGAGTGCGGTTTCGAGGAGGGCGAGGCGGCGTCACGCTGCAGAGGAGATGACGCAGACGGTCCTTGCGTCACCTCGATATCGATATCATGCAGCAGAGCGCTGGGGTCGCCCATGATGCAGCTCATATGGTTTGCAAGCCCATGGAAGCAGGTGAGGAACAGCAGTGGAACGGGCTGAGCGGTGGAACAGGCGAGAGACGTGTCCCGGACGCAGCGGCCTGGCAGTGGCCCGAGGCGGTGTCACCTTTCAAGTGGTCGGGCAGCTCCCCGGCACTCAGGTGGTCGGGTGACTCCGGGTTGAGGTGCGTCAGCGGGACGTCCTTGTTGAAGCGCAGCTTGCTGGCGCTCACGCTGCCGTCGTCCAGGCTGCTGTCAGCAGCTGCCCTGCTGCCGTCGCCACCGCCATTGTCACTGGCTGCTGCCGCAGCGCACCATGGTGTTCGCTGCTGATTGTGGGTTTGTTGCTGCTGCCGCCGCTGTTTGGTGAAAAGGCTGCGGGTGGTGGATGCAGCAGGGCGTGGCGCGCCACTGCAAGTGCTGCGCCCAGCATGAGCGGCGCGATGCCGCTGCATGCCGGGGCATGAAGCTGATCCTAGCATTGCCAACAGTGTTGATCGTTTGGTGTGCTGCCAATGTGAGTTGCACGACGACTGCAATGACCGTGCTTCGAGTTCGTGGCTGCCAAACGAGCAGCGAGGTGGCACAGGCGGGCCACTGTCGGATTATAAGAGGGGCGGAGGCGGTGAGTTCAAAAGCACGAGTCTGATTGTCTCAGAATGTTCGAAGGGGCCTTGCATTGTTACGCACCCAGTGGGTCACGCGGTCAACATGGGCGCTTGTGCGTGTGTGCAGCCCAGACGTCCGCTCTCATAGGAGGCGCGACCCTTTGTTGCACGATTGTCAGTGAGTAGCGTACACCATACACATATGCCCGTACCTTCCCGTACTTGGTGCTAGCAAACCCTGCATGGCCAGCCTCAACGTGGATCCACCGTACAGTAGCTCCTGTCCAGCACACCACGAGGGCGCCCTCTTTCAGCGCTGCGCTCCCCGACCACCGGCAAATCCAAGGCGCCAGATTCACAGCTTTACTCAATCAAAAAAGGGTCTGATGTTCATCAAATCTGAACCGCATACAAGTGCTGTGCAGGCACGCATGTGAGCTGTCTGCATGCTGCAGGGATGGGTTCACATTCCGCTTTGCAGCGGCGCGTTACGAAGGTGGTATGCATATCACGAAGATCGATCAAATGTCTGGTTCAGCACCACTGTGCGCCGCACAATCATTGCCAACCCCGAAATCAATCTTCGCCACTGAACCCCATAACAATTGAAGGTATGTCCATGTGGCGCGCAAGAGTGATGGCAGCCGCGAGGGGGCAGCAGGCACGGCGGAGGGTGCCGTCTCAAAGGCGTGCGTGCTCAAACCACTCGACAAAGCGGCACGTCCGCGCTCATTTGTCCATCCGTTCAGCATACGCATGAAGTGAATTCTGGGGTTGGGAGGGATTGAGGTTGATGAGCTGGCTGTGCACAGTGTTGCTGTGGTATAAAATAAAGATGAGGCTGCAAGATGGCGTCGTAAGGGACCAACAGTCGACCAGCTCCTGGGCTCCATTTCCTTTATGCTTAGGCCTTGGGGCACGATTGCCTGCGGGGCGAAAACGGGTGACGAGGGAGGTATGGCGGCTTCAATTGGACATGCTTGGATGCACAGAAGAGCGAAGAGGGAGCACGGGTGCGGCCGCTGCACGAGATGCAGGACCTGGTCAAGGGCAGGTGCCTAGTCGCTGAAGCAAAAAGACAAACCGGCAGGCCGCCAGCTTGCGCTCGTGCCAAGGGCTTGCATGAGCGTGGGATTCTGCCGCCGCGACAGTTCCACCCACTTCTTGAGCTTGTGCAGGGCCGCCATGATCTCCAGGCTCTTGCAGTTCTCGGCCTTGACGGCGCACAGGGGGCGGTGCCAGCTGGCCAGGAAGCAGCTGGTCAGGCCTGCGGGGCACTTGGCGTAGCCCAGCTTGTCGCCGACGCACTTGAAGCCGATCTGCAGGATGGGTCGTCGTGCAATGAAGCAGTGTTATAGGGGGAGCTGCTCAGGAAGGCACAGGACCTGGAGCCAAGGAATCTCTGCACACAACGTTCAGCAGCTGACACAACCTTGTTGATGCAACATGCAAAGGCCGGGATTCAGGTTGTGCAATAAATCCATCGTGCCTGACGCCACTATGCCACTCCTTTCAGCACCCTATGCCACTGGTGCCCCCCACGTCACCACTCCTCGCCTTTACTCCTCACCCCTGCCGCATGCCCCCCCCTGTCCGCCGCACCGTGTCCATCTTCTTGCCGGCAGCGCAGCCCCAGGTAGGTGCGGCGAAGGCGGTGTCGATCTGCACATCCTGCTTGCAGCACTTGCGGATGCACTTGGGAGCCACCTTCGTGGCCTCGTCCAGGGCCTTGCTGGGCACCTGGTTTGTCAGTAACATACCAATGCACAGTGAGTCGCAGGTACAGACACGGGCATTTTAATGGCCATGGATCGCAGTGGAGTCAGGTACATGCAGGAAGTGTGTGCGATGACATCATCACCTGGTGCACGGCCTTGGACACCGTGTCGTAGAGCTTGTTGAAGTCGGGCAGGGCGGGCCTTGGGGTTTCGCAGTGCAGGAGAGGTGCGAGGTGCACGATTAGATTTGAGGGCAGGGTAGGTTGTGAGGGCTCCTGGGGAGGCAGGAAGTTACGAGACCTTTTCCACAGGTGCGAAATGCGGGCGGGGGTGAGCGGCAAGGCGGGGGCGAACATACGAGGGCTCAAACGCCACGGCACCCCCATGAATCCCCCGCCAGGCACGCCAACTCCTCATGGCCCATCCTTCAAACTTCCCCCCTATCTCTTACAGCACAACTAGGATGAGTTTTGCCTTGCTGCTTCATCAGGCAGTAAGGCTAGTGGGGTCAAAACCCTCCTTGAGATTCTCACCAGTCCACGGTCATGAGCTTCGAGCCCATGCCGATCAGGTCGCCGCCATCGCTGAGGCCCAGCGCGGACTTGCCCACCCCCAGCGCCTTGGCGGCCAGGCCCAGGTGCAGCTCCAGGCTCTCCTTGGCCAGAGTCACGGGCACGTTGGCGGAGGCCTGGCCAAACTCGGCGAGCGCGGGGGCGATGGACAACGGGAGGGCGATGCCAGACTTCTTCATGGCCAGCAGGCCAGTGATGACCTGCATCACCTGTCGTCAGTGCACCATGTTTGGGTCGGGTGATGTATTGTGGAACAGGTACCAGCAAACGGACGCAGGTTGATGGACGACCAATGAGCATTTAGCCAGCCCAATATCCTTTCCCTTCTACTGTCCGTAGCAACATACAGTGTGTCACAGGCGCAAGTGAGGCGCGGACAGCTTTTGAGCACTGGCCTCTACTCCGCTTGTGTTCCACACACATTATCCCCTCACAATTGTGCTGCGGTCAACGAGCGACCCACCTTGTCGTCAAAGCATGAGGGGGTACCGGTCTCATTGAAGGGCGCCATGCACTTGGGGCCATTGAAGCACACATCAATCTGAGGCAGGTGGCAAACGTAGGTATGGCGTGGATTTTGGTTACGCACATGGCATGCTCCCACCCACACATGTTAATATCCAATGCCAGCTGGCAGGGCCCACGGGTCGGTTAGCCCGCTCACAGGACGCCATTCACTCATCCCCCAGACGAGCGGGATTGCCAGACGAGCGGGATTGCCCGACCTCCTTGCACACCGGCGTACACGCGCACTCGCACACCTTGCGGTAGGTCTTCTGGACACACTTGCCGATGGGCGTCATGTGGTAGCCCTGGGCACAGCTGGGGCGCGGCAGGCCAAAATCGGGGCCCTTGAATTCCGGGAAGCAGTAGCCATCGGCTGCAAAGGCGCGGAAAGTCCAGGGGCGGCCACAGCCAGGTTAGGGACGGAGGCGTTGGTAGCTGCTTCTGTTGCTGTGGATTTACTGTCCCCCAAGGGTCACATGACAGCAGGGCCCATGTGCAGGCTGGGTCAGGCGCTCCCCTGAGGATCCCAATGCAAGAAAACAGCCTAGATTTCAGCATATCCACCTCACCATCCTGCGTCAGGTTGGCGGGCGCGGCCACGGTGGGCTTCTTCAGGAACGCGTCAGCGGCGTCGTACAGGTTGCCGAGCACGCTGGAGTGGGCCGTCTGCGCAGCGCCCACGCCGAGCTGCGCGAGCCCCAGCGCGACGCCGGCAGTCTGGTTTGCCTTGCGTTGGGCAAAGCCCAGGCCCATGTGGGCGGCGTTCGTGGCGGCGCCCTGGACCGCCTGCGCGGCGGACACGCCGCTGCCGAGGGTGATGGCGACGTGGTTGAAACCCTCGTGGAGCTTGGCGCCAATCTGCTTTTGAGCGGCATTGAACATGCCCCCCACCAGCGCGGCCTTCTGGGATAGGCCTGCGCCAATGTCAAGGTTGGCGTTTGCCTGCGGGGGCAGGGTGTTGGGGCGGGCCGGGCATTGCTGGGCCACTCAGCATGAGCCTGCGACGAGCGATGCAGAGCGCGACGGCGCGAGTCCCAAGCTACGTCGACCGCTGCAGAATGTGCGACGAAAAAATCTCTTGAATTCTTAAAGATTTATAATTTAATCCAGCCGATTGCAGCTGCTAGGAGCGGGGTGGGCCATCGCGGTAGCTGATGGGCTACGAGCCAGACCGTCCACGCACCGAGCATGAAAGGCACAGAATCACAACACATATGACCGTAAGTCTCATTTTGAACTTAGCCGCTGCGTTCAAAGGCCTTTGGTAAGGAGTACGGACAGCAAGGTTGAGCGCACAACACGAGCGTGGCGTGCCAGTGAGATGTAGAGTGCAATATTCGCTGCGCTTAATTGATACAAGGACTTAAGGAACGTAATCACTGGACGTCAGTGTCCCGGAAGGGCGGTGTGCTGGAGGGAGCTGCGGGGGCGGGTTCGTTCATCTGCTGAGCCGGCTAAGAGCAGGCAGGGCCCGCGGGTGTGTTGAAGAGGATAATTTTAAACCGTTTAACGCAAAAATCGGCTCGAAACAACGCTCGCAAGAGTCACCCCATGGTCATGGAGGAATTTCCACATCAGTGCTACAATCTGGTAGAGAGCCAGGCACGGGGGCCCTCTCATAACCGTGTGCTGGCCGCCCTCCCCGAAGATCCGACAATGCCATCCTCTCTAGCATCCCCGACACCGGACTCCACGCACCCACGGCAGCGGGCTACCCTGCGTGCGCCGCCGCCGTGCGAACGTGCCTGCACGCATCGCCCCCGGACTGACGGCCACCTCGGTGATCGGGCAGCTAATGCAACCTCCCCCAGCTGCGCCTTCACCAAATCAGCGGCAGGTGTGCGTTCCACCACCAGCGAATTCCCGGAATGGTAGAGTGCGTGTGCGCTGCAATCACGCACTGGCCCATCTACAGATACAGTAGGCACATCATGTACGGCGGCCAGCCAGCCTGTGGCGGCCACTGCCTGAGGCAATGGCGGCCGACGGCTTGCAGCAGGGGCCGCAGGCGCTATTTTGGTTGTTCTGGAGCGGCTGTACGTGTGGCTGTTGTCAGCACCAACAACTCCACGGTAATGTCCATAGTTTTAGAGGTGGCACCTACCCCAATACAACATCTTCAGGGTTGATGTCCCAGCGCCTGGCACAACTAGTTTGTATCTGTTCGCGATGAACGTTCGATGCCCTGGGGCGGCCGTGGTTCATTGTGCTTGTGATGAGGCGCAGCTGTGCCGGCATGCTCCTGCATTCTTGCATGCGGTATCTGTTGCTATTGCCGGGTGCATGAGTCTTGTCGGTTGAGGATTGCACTGGGGCATGCCCGCAGCTATTGGTGTGTTCGCCCATAAATTTGCCTCCTTAGGCAGTTGTTGCTCATGCTCGATGTCTACCATGCACCTGCAAGTTCATCAAGCCAGTCATGAGCGTACTCGAACCCTCTGGCCACCCACTGCCTGCGAACTTCGGACTTAAATTGTAGTTACCAGTGCATTTTGGCATAGGCAATAACAGACAACTGCCAGTGTTGAGCTGTGGCCACGACACGCGTTCCTGAAACGCACTTGCCTAGTGACATGCGCCTTCCGGTCGAGCGTCCTGCATTGCTCCTCGGGAAGCCAGCGCCACCAGCAACAATGGCAGCTGGCTTTTCGTTCAGCCTGAGCGATGCTGTCAGGCCTAGCAGGACCAACCAATGCTGTGAAGCAGAGTTACCTGGCACAAACGTGTACATTTTAGGCTCAACAGGAGGCGGTGCAGGCCAGTGCAGCGGCATCCGCCACTGGCCACTGACCACAGCGACACCTGCCGACGGGCAGTTCGGGTGATATGGCGGTGGGCTGCGAGCGCGAAAACATCGTGCGCAGGTGCTCCGTCCGACACTCAGCTGTGTAATTCATTAGAATGCAACACAACACACCGTACACAAAGTGCTGTACCTCTGCTGTTCGCGTTGCCCGAGCAGAGGATTGTCCCATACGGCACAGCAGTATCCCATATCGACAGCCTTATTTGATTTGAGTCATCAAGAGTTTGACATATACCCACACGGACGGCGTCAGCAAGCCAGCGCAACCGATCTGCACTTCGCTGCGAAACGATGCCTCTTGGACTATGTTGAGAGCAGTGGCGCATGCGATTGCGTGGCTGGTGGCAGCATGGCACGCGCACGTCGTGGTGCCGCTGGTGAACGCCTGGGAGAGTGTCTCCGCACAGGCAGAGGCCAGCCTCACAGCAGTTATTCGCGAATGGTTCGGTATCATAAACCGTCTACTCAACGCGGCGGGTGCATGGGTGCTGTCTGTTGTGGACGCGTCGTATGCTGAGACCCAGCTCGTCGCCGGGCGTCAGCAGCAGGCGTGGCAGAGATGGTGGAGGGAGGACCGCACCAGCACACTCAACGCAGTGGTCGCCAACGCCCACTCCGTTCGAGGTGCGAGGGAACGGTGGGGTGGCACGGGCCCGCCTGTTTGCATGGCGGCAGCATGTGCTCGTCATCGTTAGGGGCTGCGCGCCACGTTGGCGTTTTTGTGGCCGCGTTGGGTTCCTCCCCATGCGAAACACGGATGCCTATAGTGTTGTAGTAGATTTGACTGAAGACACAGATATTCCCCCCTCCTTCAAGCCGTGCATGCGGCAACTCGCCGATCAGAGTGCTCGGCCTACCCCAAGCTTCTAGCCCAGGCCCATACCTCAACTCTTGATGCCCCCCCCCCTGCTGTAGACTCCCTGGACGGGTACGGCAGGCCCAGTGCCAGCAGCGCCGCCCATCCTGCAGATGCGGCCGACAGTTTGGAGCGTCCCTGGCCCCTGGCTGGCCTGCTGCGGCTGCGTACCACTGGCTGGACGGACGGCGGCGGCGGCGCCGATGTCGGCAGCCCCTCAGCACGGGCAGAGCAGCAGCAGCGGCAGCAGCTGGGGCGCAAGAGCAGCTGGCTGCCGTTCCGCAGCCGGCAGGCGCGCGGGGCGCAGCAGGTGCCGCCCTCGCCCCTGGCGCGCCTGACGGGCCGCGGGGGTCCCCGTCAGTGGGAGGAGCGCGCTGCCGCGTTCGACGCCGCGGGCTGGTGGGGCGTTCACGAGGTGCGGTGCCCGCGCCGGCCGCGCCCGCTGGCCCGGAGCGCGCCTCTCTCCACCCCCTTGCGCCGCGCTGCCCGCCATCCGCCGCTGCTGCTGCATGCCAGCACGTTACTCTTGCTGCATGCAGATTTTGCCTGGCGCCCCCCTCCCCCTGCACATGTCCTCGAACGCGCCGGGCCCTTCTGTGAGCGCTTCATGCATGTCATAAGCGGCGGCGGAGGGCCCCATACTCACCATTGCGCTCCTGTGTCCCTTGTTGCCTGTTTTCCCCGCCCGACCCACCAGGCCCTCAACCGCACAGGGCTGTTGGAGGACATCAAGCTGTCACTGGAGATGGGGGTCACCCGCGCTTTCGAGGCGCTGCGGTGGCTCGTGCGCCTCGCGACACTGTCCCTCAAGGCGCCGTCGGGGGCCGCGGCTGGCGGCGGCGTGGCCATGCGGCCGCTTTCAGAGCCCGCGCCGCGGGCGAGGCGCGGGCCGGCGGCGCCGGAGGGGGCGCAGCCGCCGGCGCCGCTGCAGCTGCGGCGGCGCCCGCGGCCGTCCGCGCC